CGAAGTCCACTGCTGAGGGGAGCAGCGGGCGGGTCAGGAGAGGTCTGCCACGCCATGTGGTCACCTCCAGGGCAGGCGGGAATTGAACTCATGCAGAAGCGGCTTTAGATTCTCAGTGCTGTGCTTTAACCCGCTGCGCCACCACGGAGGGCCTGTTTATCACTTTTTAATGATTTATTTATTTGTGCATACAGAACTGGGGTACAGGCCAGAGGCGCAGGGGCAGTGAGAGGACTCATCAGAGTGGGGAGCAGAACAGGCAGATTAAGGAAGCTGATACACTGCTGAGGGGCACAGTGGACAGGAGAGGTCTGCTGTGCCCTCCCTGTGTGTCACCTCTGCGGCCAGGGATCGAACTGGCACCGATGCGGCCACTGCCAGCCTGCAGTGCTGCACTTCCACCCACTGGGCCGCCGGGGAGGGCCCCACATTAATTTTTAAACTGTAAAATGAAGGAAGATAAACTATATGATCTCTGTGGCCCTATATCAGAGGAACATTGTTTGATTTCGAATGAAAGCGAGGTCCCGGGGGCAGACTGGGGTGGTGCATGCCACTGGAGAGCCCAGACTCCGGCTCAGAGGCTGAAAACCCTCTCGGGCTGCCACCACCCTGGGGCGCCCCTGACACAGCTGGCTGTTGCTCGCAGCCTCCGCCCCACTGGGGTGGCGAGTCTAAGCAGAGAGGGCTGCAGTGGGGCGGTAGGCCCTGGGAGGGCAGGCGGCCGGCCACCCTCAGCCCAGGCCGTCCCCTCTCTGCAGCTTCTCCTGGCAGCACCTGCACCCCAGGGGAGGGTGGCCCTGGGGTGGGCCTCGGGCGGCGCAGCCCTGGGCCGCTTCCTTGTTGTGTATGGGTCCACCTGCCACAGCTTGGCCTTTGTTTTTGTCTCAAAATATTATGTGGGCAGATATAGACAGAAATCTTTGAGGTGCCACACAGGGTAAGTATTCTAAAATGAACTTGATTTAAAATGCCAGTTACAGGCCACAAGCGGGCCCGAGCCCGCGAGCCCAGCCCCAGCCCTCCCGGGCTGCGCCGGGGCTCCTGTCCCGCCCTCCCCCGGCAGTTACAGGGACGTGAGAGCAGTGGGCTGACGGTGCCTCAGTTGAGTGGCGAGAAGACACCTCACAAGCACAGGGCAGCCGTGTTCCAGACTGGGGTTGGGAGTCCGAAACCTACTTGTGTGGTATTTTTATCATTTAGATGGAAAGAATTAGAGTCTTTATTTTCATTGTAAAGTTGTTTTTATCTCAGCATTGTGAAAACAAGTACTGGTTATCTCTAACATCTGTCGTTGAGGTATTTTATTGCTTATACTTGTGTATTAAAAAGAATCAGTACCGAGTAACCTGTTCTTGTCTTCCAGTGAGGATGAACTGGAAGACACAAATGGAAATAACACCATTGACATTGAGGTCGATCAGAGCAAGGAAAGCAAAAAGGAGGTATTTTCCCTAGTGTTTAGGCAAATGCATTTCCTTGCGTGAAACGCTGCTTTGCTCACCTGCTTACCGTGTTGAGTGCCGTGTCCGGTGCCACGAGCCGGCCTTGAAACAGCACTCGCGGGATGTCGGCCCAGCGCAGGGCGGCCGGGGGCGGGAATGGAGGCTGTCTCAGCCGGACGGGGCTCGAGCAGCGGGCGCCAGACCCGAGCGAGGGCCGGTGTCCATCCTGGCGCCGAGGAGCCCGTGGGCGGCTGCTCTGCCGGGAACGTTGGCCTCACCCGCCTCGAAAGTCACCTGGTGTGTCGGGGCTTTGGTTTTAAGGGGCCAGTGTCTCTGCGGTTGCCCATGGCTGTCTGTGAGGGACATTTGTTTGTTGTGAATCGTCTGCTGAGAACGGTGGGGGTGTGGGTGCTCTTAGCTCTTGAAACGGGGGTGGCCGTCTCAGCTCATCTTGCCCACTCACGCAAACTAGTGACTCCTGTGTGGGAGCCTCAGGCCCCTCCGGGGACACCTAGGACGCCACACCCACCACCCCAGCCAGCCTCACCTGCACTGGCCCCTCGGGGTGGCCCTGGGCGCTGCTGAGCCCACCGGCGCTCCTCCACCCTCAGTGCTGCTTGGAGGCCCAGTCTGTGCCGACGCCCCGGGCGTGCTCACGCGGGCTTCCCCAGCCCTTCCTGGCCTCTGTCTCAGAGGGGCCGAAAGTAGAGAACACCCACCTGCCTTGCCGTCTTAGGTGTGGCAGAGCGCAGGTGCCCAGACGTCCCTCTGCCTTGAGGCTCCACCCTGACCCGCGCCTCACGGACCAGGTGGGCTCCGCACGGTGGGCACGGGGCCGTGGGTCGGCGCCTGCGTCCGTGTACTGCACAGCCCGACAGTCCCCTTGCGGGTCAGGTGTTCTGTGAACATGCTGCAGACCCCTGTCGGTGCCAGTCACCACACTGGGAGCTAGGGAGTGCTGGATGGCAGCGACTTCCAGGGCCAGAAGAGTCGGCTGCCTTAGGGGGTTTGGGAACCTGGGTCACACTTGGATTTTTAGTAAGCTTTGTTTTGGTGAGTTTTTATCTGTCAGGTTCTTCGAAGAGCACCTTTTCAGTGAAGGGGAGGAGACTGGGCTTTATATTAATTTCTGTAATCCTTTATATGGAATCTTTCTGATTAAAACTAAATGGCTAAATGACATTTTCTTCGCCCACTGAAATGTCGCCCAAACAGATACATGGCCGGGGCGGGCAGCACAGGCGCCCAGGGCTGGACCGGCCGCCCGCCGGCGCGTCCGTCGCTGTGTCTCCCCGCGGCGGGCGGGGGCTCCCTGTCAGCCGTGTTCGTGCTCTCCACAGGGCCAGGGCCCCCCGGCCAGCCCGCCCTGCGCCCCGCTGCTGTGGGGCCAGCACTTCAGGAGCGGTGGCAGCCTTGCGTTTTAGGGTGCAGCACACAGGGCTTGAAGTTACTCAGCCAACCCACACGTCATGTCACCCCAGTCATAACTCCATGCTGAAGGCAGTGTCTTTACGGGCTCGCGCGACCCCCCGAAGGACCCGACCGCATCGTTTATGCACGTGCGAGCCGTTCTCCCTTGCGCTGGTCTCTGGTTAAGGCCCGTTAGGGTGAAACAGCTGTTTGTTCAGCAGCTCGTGGGAAGAGAGTGCAGACGCCCCAGTCACGGCAGGCAGGTGAATGCGTCGTGTCAGTCTCGGAGCTAGAACGGGGCCGTCTGCACGGGAAGGAATGGAGCCCACTTGGGTGTCTCCCCGAGTCGGCTAGCGGGTGTCCTGCCGTTAGCTGCCCGCTGCGCTCTGCAGCTGGCGACGCGGCTTTGGCAGAGCCGGTTAGGCCGCAGGTTCTGGGGGTGGGAGGACACCCCAGAGGCAGAGTGGGGGCAGAGCAGGCAGATCCACTGAAACCCACTGCTGAGGGGCAGCGGGGACAGGACGGGGCAGCTGCGCCCTGAGGGAACCCCCCGGCGGGGATAGCCCTGGGGCCATGGTGGTGCTGGCCTGAGGCTGAGCCCTGGGCCCCCAGGGAGGCCCTGTTGGGCATTTTAATTTTTTTAGTTTCATTTATCATCTGATAAATGTACCACGCAGGTGCCCCCCACTGAGGCAGCTCCTCAGATCAAGAAGGAGAAGCACAGCGCACAGGCGAAGACCAGAGCCAAGAGGAAGCCCCCGAGAGGGATGTTCCTGTCTCAGGGGGACGTGGAGGCCGTTTCTGCCAACGCCACGGCGGCCACCACGGTGCTGCGACACCTGGACATGGAGCTGGTTTCCATCAAGCGCCAGGTACCCTCAGCCGTGTCGCGGGTTAGCGGGGGGCCTGGGGGGTGGAAGAGCGGTGGGTGGGGACGCCCCATTTCCCGGACACTGGGCGTGTGTTTCCACAAACCGCAAAAGGGCATTTTGTTTCTGTTTTTTTCGAGGTGGTTTATTTACTCTTATGTGTACAAGAGCTGGGGTACAGGCCAGAGGTGCGGGGCTGAGAGGACTCTCCAGAGACAGAGTGGGGAGCAGGACAGGCGGATCCATGGAAGCCCACAGCTGAGGGAGCAGCGGGGAGACCAGAGTGGTCTGGGGCGCCCTGTGGTCACTCCCAGCGGGGACGGCCTCACTGGGCTGTGTCCGCCTGGGCGTTGTGGAGTTGGCTGCAAGATTTGGGTTCTGGTCCGTCGACTTCCCCCTCCCGCCCCCCTTGAATTGTCTGTAGAGTGGGAGTGTTCGCTGTGTGAGGGCAGGAGCGCTGGTGTGGGGAGCCGAGTTTGTGGGCGCCCGCTGCCACGCCCCTGCCCGCCTCCCCCTTGGCGGCCTGGGCCTGGCTGTCACGTCACGTGGCTTGTTCAAAGCCACCTGGGTTTCTGTGAACAGCCTTGTGCGGTGGCTCCTTTGTGGCTAGTTCTGTCCAGCACGTGAGGCCCGCCGAGTAGTGAGGGCCCACAGCGAGTCCCCCTCACCGTGTGGCCAGCACCCTGCGGCCGCATTCGGATGGCCTCCCCTGGGCCGCGCACGTGGGCCTGCCGCGCGCTTCCCGCGTGGCCACCGAGTGGCTGCTGCGGCCCCACAGCCCTCCTGGCTGGCAGCAGCGGCCTTGGGGTTGGGTCACTGTTGGTGCGGCGGCGTCGCCCGCCTGTGCTCAGCGGAACGCCTGCCTTCCTGGACGGACGTGCTGTGCGCGGGCCCCCTCCCCTCGCCCGGTCGCCTGCCTAAGAGCCCGCGTGGGATGCGTGAAGGTCTCGCCCGTGAGGAGTCCGGCAGCTCTGTGTGTGCTGGACTGGGGTCGTGTCTGCCTGGCCGATTCCTTCGTGTGGCGCGAGACTGCGTCTGCTGGCCCCAGAGCCTGCCCCCCCACCCCCCACGCTGGTGCCTGGGAGGCGACCGCGCCCCGGCGTGTTCTCTGGGGCCCCAGCTCCTCCAGCGGGAGCCCGCGGCTGTCCAGCCCTGCTGGCTCAGCGCGCAGACCCGCGTCTCTGCTCAGACCCTTTCTCTTTCCGCATCAAACTCGCACGCACTCAGGCACGATTTCCGTAGCGCTTGGAGGGAGGCCGTGCCGCTCCGTATGGAGCGGGGCAGACGGCCCGCCTTGACGCTGGGGCACCCCGCCACCTGTCCCTCCGCTGGGCCCGAGGTCTGCCGGTGCTTGGGGAGGCTGTTTGTATGTCGGGTCAGTGTTAGCTACTCCTTTACTCTGGTGCTTTTTGGTGGGCTTAGGGAAAGCGTGCCGCTGGGCTCTGCTTTTGCCCAGTGACCGCTCGTGCTCTCACGTGCCGCCCGCCCGTGCAAGGACGCTGGCCGGGCGATGGGCCTTTCGTGCGCTGCTCCTTCGTGCCGCTCTCAGTGCTTGCCGGGGGGGCTGGGGGGGGCCGCCTGCGACCTGGCGGCGAGTGGGGCCTCCGGCGAGGCGGCCGCGGCCCGAGACGGGGCCTGCGGAAGCGCTTCGCTGGCCCAGTCGCACCCCGCTGTGGGAGAGTCGCTTCACCATCTGGCCTTTTTCCAGAGAGGAGCTTCATCCTGGCCCGCCTGATCTCCAGGGCGGGGAGCTGCGGCGAGAGCAGTTTCAGCTCTTCTGAAGCGCGGACGAGCTCTGATTAGGGCCGCGCGCTGCCTTCTGGTCTCCTTCCCAGGGGCCTCAGATGCACTCTGCTAAGTCCCTGCAGCCTGCTGGGCGAAGCCACTGTGTTGCAGAAAGGGAAAAGAGGCCCTTTCCACAGAGCTGTTACTCATTCTCTGGCACGATGGATGAAAGATTCTCTGGTTTTCAATACGAGGATCAAGAGCAGCAGTTTTTTTCAAGATTTTTTTTTTTTTTTACACTTATTTATCCGTACAAGAACTGGGGTACAGGCCAGAGACGCAGGGCCGGTGAACGGATTCACCAGAGACAGAGTGGGGAGCAGAGCAGGTGCACTGATTGAAACCTCTGCTCTGCTAAGGGAGCAGCGGGGGACAGGAGGGGTCTGCCGCGCCCTGTGGTCACTCCCTGGCCAGGGGTTGAACTTGCACTGCAGCGGCTGCGGACAGCTTCACAGTGCTGCGTTCTAAGTCCTGCACCCCCTGGGAGGGCCCAAGAGCAGCAGTTTTTTATTGCAGGCAGCCTCCAAGCTCCAAGTTGCAGTGCTGGGGTGGGGGTGGGGTTGCCTTATGCGGTCCTGGCCTCAGCCATTCCCACGTCAGTGAGGCTGCCAGCTCGCAAGGACCCTTCTGCCTGCCAGCCCCTGTGTGGTACCTGGGGGGGTACGTCAGACACAGAGAGTGGGTCGAGGGTGGCCATGGTGGGTATGTCCCTCCGGAGCCTCGTGTCTGCTGATCTGTCACGAACGTGGTCACCAGAAAACCTGGTCACCGAGAGCTTAGATAATCGGGATTCGTCCTCCCGGAGAGCTGGCTGTCCCAGCGTGGCCGCGGCCTGGCCTGTTCACTCTGCAGAGCTGGCGCTGCCTGGTTCCTGCCTCTGTTGTCCTCAGCTGTTCTCAGTGGAAGCTCCAGGAGACATCTGCAGGCCTCACGCCTGCATTCAGGGCCAGAGAGGAGGAGGTGAGCTGGCCGTCCGCCTGTTAGCAGGAGCAGCTTTGGCCTTCCCCGAGATTCTGGGGTGGCGGCCAGCGCAGCCCGGGGCTGCTCCCGGCCGCAGGAAGGTCGTCAGCCGCTGCCGCAGACGGTGAGAAGTGGGCTGTAGGCTCAGCCGGTGAGCGGCCAGGCCCGGGCCTCTGTGTGGAGCCAGCGGTCTGACGAGGAGAGCAGCACTCGGCATGCCCAGGGTGGGCGCTGGGCAGCGCTGCTCGGCCTGCGTGCTGCCGCCCTGGGTGCCCAGGTGCCGCCCTGTGGCGCTGTGCCCTCCGTGGGGGAGCCAGCGGCC